TAATCTTATTTTTCTAGCTTGTTAATTAGGCATTTAGGTTATTTTGACCTAACCTAAAGTCTTGGCAATTTTATGTGTGTCTTTACAAAATAAAACTTTCATGCAACAGGCGTTATGTTTGGCTGAGCTGTATTCGCATCAGACAGTTCCGCAAAGACAAATTGTGTGATTATGTTTCGACTAAATTGTGTGATTTTTTGACAGAGCTCCAGTCATTTGTTATTCAACCTGCTAGCACTGATGCCCTGGAAGGCAGTGACGTCACGATATTCTGTTCTGTCAGTAACAAAGCAGGACAGTTAGTATGGTCATTGAACGGTGAAGACATAAGTTCTGATTCTACAATTTCAACATTTACATCCGGGTACACCATAAATAGTCCGATTCCATCAGTTGATTACAATTTGAAGATTGAGTCGGTGAGACAAGAGCATGCTGGTAATTACGTGTGTTCAGTGACATCCGCCAATGGTCTTCCGGAAATAACCAGTGATACTGCTGTTCTGACAGTTTTCGAACACCCCACTGAACTTCCAACTGAACGACCAATCAGGAGTACCACCGACCATTCAACCACACGTGGCACTGACTATCAAACTTTACATCTAAATGAACATCCAGTTGTATGGCCGATCGAAAGTAGCATCGAAGTTACAATTGTACGTGCCACCGAACGCCACACTGAACTTTCGACCGAAAGTGTCACCGAACGTTCAACCGAACGAACAATTGAGAGTACCACAGAACACTCATCTGAAAACGCCACCCAACGTAAGCACGTTTAGCTTCCATTCACACAATTTGCCATTGCGAAGTTGCATTTTTATTTGTAATAATTCATCTCTCGCTATCTGTAGTCAATGATTGATAGATACATAATTTATTAGAAGGACATTAGAATAACAACACCTAAGTGTACAATATATATGGATATGTAACGTATATTTAAAGAACTGTCATGTCGATTGTGTCTCCGCATTGATTCATATCATCGAAATTTAGATTTCGAAATTGTGAACAAGAAAGATAATCGGAAAACATATTTTAGTTCTTTTTAGGGCTCCAACATGTGCACCAAGTACAGTAAGTACACTTATACTTGGAGAAAATCTAATCTTAGTGTGTGAGACTGAACGAGACGAACCAGCAGCAATATTACGTTGGATTCAAGATGGCGGTGACGTGCGAGAAGGTATCACCCTAGAAACCAGCACAGCAATCCGAGTTGGTCTATTCCTGACCATAACAGAGCACCTACAGGGGTCAGTATTCACCTGTGAATCAACACATCCAACACTTCATATCAAAGAGGCATGTCAGGTTGGACCAATTGAAGTAGACAGTAAGTTGTACCGTTTTTATTATTTAAATGTGAACTTCAATGTCTGTAGACTCACCAATCTACTCGAACTCAAAACGATGTGACGTGATGTAACCCACGGCACAGCAAATATGATCACGTGTCACTATCCCATCCGTTTTTATTGTAAGTCTTTGTTTGGTCTGTCCCATAAAATGCATTTATTTACACGGTATGAATGCAATCGGTGGCCAGAAAATGTGGAAGACAATGTTCTGGCGAAAACTCGTCATTGTCATTACATTTGACACTAACGAGATGTGAGAATATCTTAAAGTTTAGCCTAAACGTTTTGCTATTTGATAATCAAATAATTGCAGTTAATTTACATTAGGTTTTGCATTGAATAACATTTCCACATTGCCAAATACAAAGTACACCACATAAAACGCCCAATTGTTTACATACATACACATTTAATCACAGGTTCACGGACTGAAATAAAACTGTTCTCAAAGGAGGCAGAGAAATACGCCAAAGTTGGAGAGCATATCATCATGGAATGCAGCATTCAAAATAAGCTGGGTACCATTCAGTGGATTAGAGATGGTCATGTGATCAGTAGTGATACTGTCATGAAAGATAACGAACATGAATTCTCGAGGTATGTTTAGGTTTAAGTTAAAATTGGATATATGTTTTATCGGTACATATTTTTAATAGTGCAATGATTTATAGCATGTGATTATATTTCTTCATTTCACCATTCTTTTCCGAACCCAAATATGTTATTGATAAACATAATTCCACTATGACCTTCACAAATTGCAATAACCACTATGATCACATTAAATACATTTTAGGTACTTCATTGGAGGTGACCAATCCATTGGTGAATATTACTTGAATATCGACAGAGTCAGTAAACACGACGCTGGGATATACTATTGTTTACTGTCATCGTATGTGGACAGACTGCCATTGGTCTCATCAAAAGATATTCGACTACAAATTGCGGGTAAACATAATATTTTTCCATTCACTTTGAAACTATGAAACTACAACGACAATAGGTTTGATGGACAGCCTTCAACAAACACATTGTTCATAAATTGAGTAAAAACATACACAAGTACTCATGTACTGAGCGTCATTATTACTTATTCACATAACAACGAAAATAAATATCGGTTTTCTATTTTCTGGCAGACCCCATCCCACCAGAAAGTATATATCCGCAATGCACAATATCCAGTAATTACGTCATCGAGGGAGATACGGTGCTACTGACCTGTATATCTAAAGGTGGTGACCCTCCAGCAACTTTACAATGGGACAAAAATGGAAACAACCAAGACGGCATTCATATAGATGAATCAACACTATCACTGCATGTCAACATAAGCAACGAAATCAATGGTGCAACATTCACTTGTACGTCCAAACATTCAACATTTAACCAATCACATACGTGTGTAATTGGACCATTGAAAGTTACCAGTGAGTAGAGTTTAAATCATGTTTCAATGCAATACAATGTCATAATTCGTGAAGGATATTTACATTCCACGAAGACGCAACGATAGAAAACAAGGAAACACTGATAGCCATAATACATTACTGAATCAAATGACTGAGAGCAAGATTACTTGTACCTCCAAGTTTAGAACAGGTATTGTAAAAGAGTGACCACACCCTGCTCTACATGAAACTACGTCATTAAATATATCATTGAACATAATTGCAAACTTGTATTTATGTATTTACAGGTCCCTGTTGTTTGTTTGTTTGTATTCACAGGTATGCCAAATGGAAATGACTGGTACATTGAATTCGTGGTGACATTGATAATTCTAATTCTTACCATATTAATTATAGTATTTCTATTAGTTATTCTCTTAAAGTGGAAGCTATCATTTCCAAGAATTTTACCAAGTAGTCATGTGTAATGTCTAATGAATTGATATTTTCTACCTCAAGAAGTTAAAATGATAAGTTATCTGGTTTCACCATAGACCCTCCACTGTAAAGTATGTGGTTTCACTTTATAATTTGGACTCGTGAAACAAGCAGGATCGTCCTGGGGGGGGGAGGGGTCAGGCCTGAACCCACTTAGTAGGTCATATGTAATTAGCTTCAGGATACAGTGTCGAATATGGAATGGTGAACAAGAAAGGGTTGCCAAGTTTCATGCCATAACGGCAACGACTTTCATTATAACTGATTGTTATACGTGTTGAACTCAGTTTTATGGTATCATAATTCCACCCCCAGAATAAAGTGAATTCGTCTGGACTGTGGTAGATCCACCTATGCGCATTACTACCACAGTATTCTAGTCAGTGTACTTTGGTGTAAATGCTAGCTTCACCATGTGTTCGGGGTTCCTTTTCATTTTGAGTTCCGGCCATTACAGACAAACACGCCTACAGTTCAGCCAACTGTATCTTTCTTTATTTTGACTGGCATGGAAATTATTTTATGTCGTCAACTGTTTTTTGTGGCATTATTTTTCATGAATGAATTATTAGTTCATATGTCATATTGTAATTATTTCAAGTGGATGGAGCCTTGCCCGATTTATTTGTACAATTAGGAGTTCAAACTGGTTCAGTTGGATTGGTACTTGTGCATTTCTCAATTGCTTATTTATGTTATTTGAGATTAAGTTATATTTATTAAAAGTACCGTTAATACTAAAGTTTAGCATGGTGTGAGTCTGTTATATACAATGTATACCGTATTACAAAGATACAATAACCCTGGATTGAAATAACGTGGACACAGAGATTGAACAGACTGTTGCAACTCACCTCTGGGTCAGAATTCTAAACACTCGACGGAATTTTCCATGGAATGGAATTGTCTAGAGGGTGAGTCGACCGAATCACTATGTTGTCTGGTATGTCAAAATACAACGAACTCGGTGTACTGTCTAGACAACGTTCAACGAACTCGGTGTACGCTGATGGTACATGTTTGGTGATAAAAAATATTAAATATAATTCAAAACAAAATTAATTCATGCATTAAAGTGATAATATTTTGCTGATATTTTGTGAAGAGATTGCTCATTGCTAAACAAGGTCATATGTGAGAGCATGGAAGGTAATATCTTCCATGGTGAAAGTAAAAAGAATCAGATTTAACCTGTACTTAGAGTTTTTGACTTCTTAATACGTGCTAAGGAGCTGTGCGCGTACGCAAGTAATAAGTTGGGGTTCGGACCATTTTGTCATATTAACGTGATATTTTTTTAGAAAATCACATAATATATATAGGCTTCTGAACAACAGGGATTATTTCCTTGCAAGTAAAAACTGTATTAAACAGCTCCAGCAAAGCTCCAGTAAAATCATGTTTCCTTCAATTTATAGATCGATTACAGAGTAACAAACTGCCTGTATGTGGCTATTAAAGCGGCAGGGTCGTCACCTGCGCACGCGCGAGAATCGAGTCTCAGGCGACGATAACAACACACACTAAAACGCAAAGGCTCATGGGTAGACGCTTGTTTGTAAACTATGACATGCTATGCCCATCTGACGCATGCGCAGGTGACGACTCCCCCGCTTTAATAATATTACACACTGATTCACTGATGTTGTATTTATGACAATAAATAGAGTAAAGATTGAGAGTTTGTTGAAAAAATCAACAACATGAACCGGAAATCCGACGCGCTGCTAAAAATGAATAATTAACTGCTGACAATCAATGTCACGTGACGTGGATGCAATTAAACATGATGCAATCTTCACAAATATTTACACAGGTCCTAAAACGTTGCTCATTACCATGTTACAGGTTCAACGACGACAATGAAAATCGTGTTCGCGAATTTGAAACGTCACTGCAAAGAGCCAGAAATATCCCCAGTTGTTTGATATGAACTTAACACTGCGTTTAGTGTTGTTCACTGTTCCGAGTGTGTGTGTGTGTGATGATACAGAGCGTACTTCGAAAATAAAGCAACGTACAACTATAAATGGAACGGAAATAAGACTCATTCCGGGTCACACTAGTACTCAATACGTCCATGATCGCACGATATTTAGAGTTGACGATGACGGCAAATTTCAACCAATTTTGTTACATGTGGCTCAGTAACTGGCGTCGTTGTAGCTATTTTTACGAAAATGACAAATTCATGCTGGAACTGATCAGCCCATCCTAGAAACACGTACGAAACCGAAATGAGTGTATTGTTAACACTCACCAAAATATTCACACCTGTGTTCTGCATACAGGCTCGTTATATGATGTTGCAATTTATCACCATACTCTATTGTACTCAGTATCTTGAGTACAATTTCCTGTCCTGTGTTAAAACGCACCAGTGTATAGTAAGATAAATCACAGTTCCTCAACACTGGATAAATAAAGACGTCCCGTAACGCAATGTTAGAATGACTTCAGTCAGAGAATAGTTCAATTTAGAAATTAGTAACATCTTCTAAATTTTGCGAATTGAATTGTGTACACCACCATTTCACAATTATGTCCCAAATTTCAAGAACTTCACGTTTCGCTTATTCTTAGTGAAATAGAACTAGTAATCCCATAAGGATTATGTAATCGTAGACGGAAATTCACGTAGTAGGCGATAAAGCCAAACTGACCTTTGGATATGTAGCTTTCTAGTCAATAGAAAGTAAATTATGTCTATTTCACCACAGCACTCGTCGGAAATGCAGGCGCGAAAGCTGTAGTGAAATAAACTTGATTTAAAGAAATTGACAATGCTAATATATTACACACATACAGAATGTGAACGATATACACTGATGATTAGTGTTATCAGCTAGTAAATGAACAACTAGGGGTTCTGTAAACATACGCTGTGCAAGTGATTAACAACATGCATTTATCATAGCCAAACCCCAAATAAACAATCGCCTTGATTGACCCTATGGAGTAGTACATAACCAATTCAGTTAGAACAATTCATCCCGTTTTATTAACACTTGAAAAAATGAAACAATGTGCCAGAACATATATGTTTAAAAAATAAAAAAGTAGTATTCGTAGTTTGTCATATGCTGACGTGGGCAAAAGTACGTGCTCTCGTGTTAACACTCCCATGCGTTCCAATTAGAACCAACCCAGATGTATCAAACTGTATTCATCAACCTTCTAGAATGAAATCATATTTCTAGGTCGGTAATATAATGTTACAGAGTGTGGCTATCTACACAGTACAACTCATCTTAAAACAATAAATTAACTCCAATATAATAATTCGGTCAACCTCCACATTCATGATGCTTGCATTGATATTGTTTGATTTTCACCTATGCCAAGACATCATGTTTGACAGCCCGTAAGAATCATGTGATTGTCTGTCAATCATAACACGATAATTACTATACACATATCGATACAAGACATATCGAGAGAGTTTTTTAACGGATCGTATATTATTTCAGTAATAACACGACCATCCGTGTAATCCAACGACTTGTTATGTCAAAGGTCACGTTGCACGCCGTGTATCGCGACATGATGTCCGTACTTTCAGATACGTTACAATAAGTTGTTCCGTGTGACGTATTATTTCGATATGTTAATATGCTATTCATATTTATTAAAGTGTATCATTTGTGTTGCATGTCTCTTTCCAGGTGACGGAACAACGATGTTTGCGACGAGTGTTAAATGCGTTATATACTCTGTTTTAGTTTGTAACTTAGGTAAGTAGGTTGATAAATTAACAATTCCTATCATTCTTTTTATTACATCACTTCCCAGTCGCAACGAAGTGAAAAGTGATGACGAGTATAGTTTTTTGTCGACCATGCCACGCCTACGTGTTGCTTATTATAAACTTCATCTATGTTGATAAAGAATGACTATCAGGGCCGACTATTCAGTGTTTGCAAAAATTCAACGAAGCCTATGAATATCCTGGAACAACTGACAAGCGCTTTAGCATAAAAAGTGTGTGCTGTTGTTTTCTGTGTTTCGATGATAATATTATGCATTAATCGAATAAGAGTAGTCTCTAAATAACTAGCATACTTGAAAGTCATTTAAAACCGCTTAAAACAATGTAATATCACGCGATCGTCAGGAAAGTACTAAGGGTAGGCGGTGAAATAGATGCTCATGAATCGCATGAAAAATTAACGAATAACCTAATTATTATCAAGTTAAAAGTGTGGCAAGTCTCCGCATGCTATTTGTTTAGAACTCGTGAAAATATTAACATTATTCAATTTTTTTAATTTAGTTTTATATAGTTTAGTTTTCCCATGTATATGGAATTTATTTAACTTTTATTTTCGCGTAATTAAATTTGACACACACAATTCTAGGCGGTATCCATTCTGCAAATCAGGAAATTAAAATGAACAGATTTTAACCCAAAACTAATCAGATTTGTACATTGTCCTAGAGCATATTTGTACCAAGTTACAGTGAAATGGAATAATTAGTACTTTATGTATCAGTGTGAAAGCTTAAAATTGGTTAATTATGCAAATTAGGTAGTTGATATGTACAGATTTCAACCCAAAATTAATCTGGTCTGTGCAGTGTCCTAGAGCATCTATATACAAAGTTTAATTGAAATGTGATGATTATTACTTGAAATATCAGTGTAAAAGTTGAAAATTTATTAATTATGCAAACTAGGTGATTAATATGCGAAATATATACCGAAAACTACTTGGCTCTCTGCATAGTTTAGAAATATATTATTAACACATTAAGTTATTAATATGCACAATAATTTATCCCAAAACTAATCAGGCCTTTGCATAGTCCTAGAGGATCTATGTACCAATTTTCATTGAATGTGATGATTAGTACTTGAGATATCAGTGGAATAGCCGAAAATTAATTGATTAAATGTGATGATTAGTACTTGAGATATCAGTGGAAAAGCCGAAAATTAACTAATTATATAAATTAGGTGTTTAATATGAACACATATTTATCCCAAAACAATTAATTTCTGCATAGTCGTTGACGAGCTATGTACAAAGTTAGATTGAAATGTAATGCTTACTACTTAAAATATCAAAAGCTGAAAATTAATTCGTTATGCAAATTAGGTAATTAATATTTAAATTAATATTTACTGATATTACCCTAGAAACTATCAGGTCTGTGCAGTGTCCTATGACATATATGTACATGTACCAAGTTTCATTGAAATATGATGATTAGTACTTGAGATATCAGTGGAAAAGCCGAAAATTTACTAATCATTATGCAAATTAGGTAATTAATATAATTTCATCTATGTACCAAGTTTCATTCAAAAAACGATGTATGGTTCTTGAGACATCAGTGGAACAGACAAACTGACAGACACACGCATAAATATACTCATACAGACAAAAAGATGTCCAGCAATCAGGGTCCATTGCTAATGACGACCAAGTGAGTTTCTAATATTTTCTAATGTTTCGGTTTTTTATTAATTGGTAAATATCAGATCTTTAATTTAGATTTTAGCTGTAATTTGTGGAAGTATGTAAGTCGATGTGGTGGAGATATTTCATTTTCAAACTGTATGATTTTGTAAAACCCTGTTTCACACAATGGAACAAAAAATTTGAAATCACGATTATGCTGTTCATGAACATTCTCATTACGAAATAAAGAGCATGCTAAAGGAAATTATAACTGTATAATAGCTGCTAAACAAACAGTTCAGTTGTATTTTATCCGCGGTTTAGTTATTTTGTGTTATAAAATTGCCTTATATAAAACACTACAAACTCACATTTTTCAGTTATGTTTTAAACAATTACGTAGTTGCATTCCCAACCCTATATAAAAAGTTCTAGAACACGCAAACAAGAACGACTTTGAATTTATGTTTTACAAATATAATGTTTTAAAACGCTGGTAAAATTTTGATAATTTACATTTAACATATTTCAGATGATTTGAACTCATTGTTTTAACTTTTGAAACGGGTTTGAATCATTTTTTCTACAGTTCTCGCAGCTCAACATTTCACGGTCACGCCCATTGACCAATCGGTTATGGTCGAAGGCCTTGTGATATTCCACTGCACGGTTGCTGAAAGAAAAGGCCATCTCACGTGGTTGCAAAATGGAAGTCCAGTGGACACAACCAATCGTGATTATTCAATTATTTACAGTACCTCTTCTGACGGAGAAGCTTTCGATTTACAAATTATGGATGTTGAGCATAATGATGCCAAGAACTACCAATGTAGTGTAGCACATGGAGGTGGTGATAGCGCGATCATCTCCGGACAAGCTTCTTTGACAGTGACAGGTATGTATAATGAATCGAAATATAATTTGCAGAGATGTTCTTGTCCACCTCTTCAGATCGTCAATGAACTTCACTTTTTGTTTCCATTTCTGTCCATTTTTTTCTGTTATTAGGATGTTTTCAAAGAATTTCAGTTGTCTATTTCAATATCTCATGGCATATTTCGTGAAAAAATCATGTCTTCTTTCATTATTATTATCCAACAGATCCTCAAAGGTTCCATACGATTCCAAGTGACATTACTGTACTGGCTGGTAACTCAGCTGTATTGGAATGTGTCGTCAGCGATAAAGAAGGCATTGTCATCTGGACAAAGAATGGTGAGGACATTAGCAGCGACGCCACGATCACCAATGGTGATAACAGGTTTTCAATTACTGGGAACCAAGATAATGGAGAATATAATCTACAAATTGTAAACGCAGACATTCAAGACACTGGGATATATGAATGCCGTGTAACAGCTTCCGGTCAGAGTGCAAAAATTGGTCCTGATACAGCATCATTGGCAGTGCAAGGTAAAGCGCTATACTGTAGTTAATGAGAGGTAGCCAGACTGGCAAGTTAGCGCCTCGTAGGTAGTGCCAAGATATACGAAGCTCGAATTAAATTGAAGATACAAATTTGTCAATTGCTCATTGTTTACACACAATAGTTAATAGTATTCACGAGTGCACTTTTGTGATGGTAGGTGGCAGTTGAATAGAATCATTTACATTTACATTTCCAAACCTAAGAATAATCCATGATGCTAATGTCTCCACACAACAAGAATGGATTAAGGATGTAGTAGCGGTTTTAATAAATTAAAATTCACACTAACTGTTGTCATAAAAATAATATTTTAAACCACATTAAACTATATATAAAAGCTGATAATTCACACTAATTCAAAATCGATGTTACGTTAGATGTGGTCACGTGACTGCTAGTAAATAAATCCTTATTTGAAGATTCAAATGCGTACTGTGAAGAAATTAAAAGCAATATCACAATTTACCCCTTGAAAATGTACAAAAAAAGTACAATAAAATCACAGCTACAATTTCTGAAACAAGTGAAGGTATCTGATGAGTGATCGTTGAGTCTTACTTATTTGTTTGATCATTTATGATGTCGAAAATAGAACAAAGATTTACACTAATTTGCATATCGATAGATAAATAGTGGAGTGACTGCATTGATTATTTAAATGATAATGAAAACTTTTTTACCAAAGTTCGTTCTGACTTTCAGTAAAATGTGAATGTATGGTAAGCATCTAAAGTTGTTCTAAAATCATTTTAATATTTGTGAATTATTAAATATATAATATACATGCAAATATGCAATTAGGTATCCATAACAACGCGAGCTGTAAATTTTAACAACTGTTTTAAGCATGTTCCAATGATGATGGAGCTCGGAAATAATTAGATATGGCTATGGATTAACGTATGTAAACAGTAAAAGGTGAATAATGACACTTTGCTTTGATTTAACTTACTGGTACGTACTAATAATCATAAAGGTCAATTAATTGAATAAATATTACAAAAATATACAACTTTGCTGCTCTTCAATTAAAATAGCATATTTTAAGAATAATTAAACCTTTAAATAATAAAACGAAGTTAAATTAATAATATATCTCACATAGAGTTGCTGGCAGACATTACACTGTGAATATGCACGACACGACATCTCCGGGCGACATCTATGCCACGTAAATTATGATTGGCGGGGAAAAATTAATTTTTTGCATTTATTAGCGCAAAAGTTTGGATTAATGTGTGAAAAGATTTAATAATACAAAATAATCGCACGATATATTGTATGATTTTCCGACAGCACTGCAGTCATTTGATGTTCAACCTGCTAGCACAGTTATCCTTGAACGCAATGACGTTACGCTATTCTGTTCTGTTAGTGACAAAGCAGGGCAGTTAGTGTGGTCATTAAACGGTGAAGACATAAGTTCTGATTCTACAATTACGACATCTATATCCGGGTACACCATAACGAGTCCGACTCAATTAGTTGATTACAATTTGAAGATTGAGTCAGTGAGAGCAGAGCATGCTGGTAATTACGTGTGTTCAGTGACATCCGCCAATGGTCATCCAGAAATCACCAGTGACACTGCTCTTTTAACAGTTGAAAGTAAGTAAATAAATATGATAATGCCACCTTGATATGCAGTAAATATAAAGGCGAGACATTGCAGCAAATTCTAAATCATGCAGGAAAGTAATTTGTAAACTCAGTTACATACCGATTACAAATCACACTAAAAATAATTTACACGTCGCGTTTTTTTTAAAGTTCAAGAGCGGTGGTCGTCGCTCCACGCATGCGTATGATCATATAAACGCAAATAGCGACTTTGACTGTTGCGCAGACCAACGAATACAGACTGAGACCTTACTAAGCTTTAATTAGGTAATCTTAAGATGATTGGAATGTATGGAAAGAACGCATTGGAATTTGGAAAAATCAATGTTTATCAACACAAATGTCGATTATTATTATTTAACAGTAAGGGACCCCCAAAGCTTCCTCACGACTCCAAATGACACTACTATACTGGCTGGTAATTCAGTTGTAATGGAATGCGCCGTCAAAGATAAAGAAGGGATTGTCATCTGGACAAAGTCCGGTGTTGACATTAGCAGCGACGCCACGATCACCAATGGTGATAACAGGTTTTCAATTACTGGAAACCAAGACAATGGAGAATATAATCTACAAATTGTAAACGCAGACTCTGGGGTTTATGGATTGTATACTTGTCGTGTGACAGCTTCGGGGAGGAGTGAACAAATTGCTTCTAGTTATGCAATTTTAAGAGTACAAGGTAAGGACATTTATTGTAGTAAATGGATGGTAGCCAGATTGGTTGGTTAACGCCTCGCACCAAGATATATGATATTCAAATCAATTAATTGCTCGAGGATTACACACAATAGTTAATATACTGTATTCAATATTGCACTTTTGTGATGGTAGATGGCAGTAGACTACAATCATCACATGTTTTTTTGACGAACCTAATCACGAATGATCCTTACTTTTAATGTTCCCACTGAACTAGAATGAATCAAAGGATGTATTAGAGGTTTTCAGAAATTCACGCTAATTGTTTTCATAGAAATATTGTGAGCTATATCACAGCTTAAATTCACACTAATTAAAAATCAATGTTACGTTAGATGCATATTTCAAGTGGTCAAATGACTACTGAGTAAATAAACTCTTTATTGCAGGAAATTGTTTGTTTTTACATTTGATAGTCAAATCTTTACCATGCGTAAATTTAACAAAATTCGCTGACGAAGTATTGTATATCACATCTACAATCTCTGATATAGTGATCACTGAGTAGTGATTTTTTGATTTGATTTCGGATTTAGAACAAAGATTTAGCCTACTATGCATACCGATGGATAAATAGTGGAGTGATTGTGAAATGGTTTTGACAAACATGTTGACTTCCTATGAAATGCCGCTGGCTGCTAACTATCTAAAGATGTTCTAAAATAATTTAGTACTTGACTGTGTGATTAATTAAATATTTAAAATATATGCAAATTAGGTATTTATAAAAATTCGAGCTGTCCATATTGACAACTGTTTTTAGTATAGAGCTATGAATTACTCTTGGAATAAATAGATATTGCTATGAATTGTATAATATATAAACAGTTCAGTTTAAATAACATATGTAAAAAACTCTACTATACATATCCTTAATGACATTTTGAACAGCAAAATGCAAACAATGACACATATATGCTTAAGTCATTTGAATTACTGGTACGTACCAATAATCCAAAGTTCAGTCACGTGGCTATTTATTTTAATGAATATTACAGAAATACTCAACCTCACTCTTCAATTGAATTAGCGTATTTATAGACTAATTAAACATTAATATTGTAAAGAGTAGTTAATTGAATAATATATTTCACCTAGAGTTTCTGGCAGCAATTACGGATGGATATGTACGACATAATTGCTAGGTAAATTATAATTGGCTGTGAAATATTACACTTTTGGCAGTTATTGACCTAAGCGTTCGGATTAATGTGAAAACAGATTTTGATAATAACAAATAATTGCACAATATATTATATGATTTTCCGACAGAACTGCAGTCATTTGTTGTTGAGCCGGTTAGCACAAACTGTCTAGAAAGCAGTAACGTCACGCTATTCTGTTCTGTCAGTAACATAGCAGGGCAGTTAGTATGGTCATTGAACGGTGAAGATATAAGTTCCAATTCTACGAATACAACAACTACATCCGGGTATATCATAAATAGTCCGACTCCATCAGTTGATTATAATTTGATGATTGAGTCAGTGAGACCAGAGCATGCTGGTAATTACGTGTGTTCAGTGACGTCAGCCAATGGTCATCCAGAAATAACCAGTGATACTGCTGTTCTGACAGTTGAACGTAAGTAAATATAATAAAGGCTGTATTAATCAGTAGTATATATCAAGGTATAAATCTGCAGCAACAGGAAATGTGATTGAGAAAATGCCATCTAATAGGTAACTTTCTATGAATCTCTCCACATGCGCAAGAAATCTCTGAGAGAATTACCATTTATATTAATCAACTTGCGTGTTTTTAGAAATGGGTCACAAATTGTTTGGAACAACATCTAATAGGGGGTCGCAGAACCCAAGGCATAGTGGATGGTTTGCATTAATTTTGGCAAAATTCCTTCAAAATTTGGTCGGTTCACGCTCTTGCTGGTTGTTGTGTGTGGCACACTTGTTTTTATGTTCGTCTTCATGTTTTTAACATATTATGTTTCTAAATTTCTGACAGACCTACAAGATTTTATTACTGAGCCTTTGAGTATTATGGAACATAAAGGCGATGACGTAACACTATTTTGTTCTGTAAGTAACAAAGCAGGGCAGTTAGTGTGGTCATTGAACGGTGAGGACATAAGTTCTGATTCTACAATCACGACATCTATATCCGGGTACACCATAAACAGTCCGACTCCTTCTGTTGATTACAATTTGAAGATTCAGTCAGTGAGAGCAGAGCATGCTGGTAATTACGTGTGTTCAGTGACGTCAGCCAATGGTCATCCAGAAATAACTAGTGATACCGCCATTCTGACAGTAGAACGTAAGTAAATATGATATCACATATCAAATTGTAACGCCAAACCCGCGACCAACTGAACTTCCCAACAAACCGACAGCCGAACTAATCATGCCACTGAACGTGCCTCTGAAGGTACAATCGTACTGCTAACTGAACCTCCCATCGAACGTAAGCACGAGTCGACTCCATTCATCAAATGCCCGGATAGGAACCCATATTTAAATATAGAACGTAATCCTGCAATTAACAAAAACATAGATAGCAATTGACCATTGACTTGGTGGCGCTATTTACAACTCATTACTCACACTCATTCAACGCATGTACTAACACAATGTTAACATAATGTTCGTGATAGCGTTAAACATATGCTTGGTCACAGAACTATGTCAACTATTTATAAAACATTTTGCATAAATTACGTATCTTACTGAAAATTTCTTATTAAAATGAAGCCGACAATTATTATTACGTTATCAGTATTTAAAGTTTATGTATTTTTGCGTTGTTTATTACTGATTGAACATTCTTTCATTCACAATATTAACATGAATTACTAAACACATTTTTGAATTACAATTATTTTTATGTGGTGAATATAACACATTTGTTTTTCATAATTTAGCACCTCTTCCTACATGTGCACCAAGTACAGTAAGTACACTTATAATTGGAGAAAACCTGATCTTAGTATGTGAAACCGAACGAGACGAACCGGCAGCAATATTACGTTGGATCCAAGATGGCGGCGAAGAGCAAGATGGTATCACCTTGGATACTGACACAGAAATTCGAGTTGGATTAGTGCTGACTATAACAGAAGAATTACAGGGGTCCGTATTCACCTGTGAATCAATCTATCCAACACATCACACCAATCTAACATGCCAGGTTGGACCACTCGCAGTAGACAGTAAGTAATATATGTGGTCTCCCATGTAAAAACTCGGAAGTGAACTAACCAACCGGTCAATACTAATTAAAAGCAAAGCAGATGGTAGAAGGCAAATAACAGTATAAACAAAGTGGAATTACTAGTCAAGCATCCAAAACACTGGATCAGTAAATAAACTAACTACTGACAGAGTGTATCATGTCTGGCTGGCTGACTTACCAACAAATAAAGTCTGACAAAGATATATCAATACACGATCAAATTAGAAAAAGTAGACCTAGCGACGTCGGCGGCGCCATTGTTCCATATATACAAAATTTACGTGTTGCTATAATAACTACAAACATAAATGACAATTGTTGACAGATGCAGTAAATACGTTCATTTCTCATCATTGTTCATTTTTCATTAGTTTTGCAGACAGAAATAAGACTGTTTTCAAAAAAAGACAACATATATGCTAAGGTAGGAGAGGATATCACTATGGACTGCACCGTTCAAAATAAATTAGGCACCATTCATTGGATTAAAGATGGTCAGGTGATCAGTAATGATACAATCATTAACAATGACGAAAATTACGTAACAAGGTATGCTTAGTTTCAGTAAATACATTTATTCAATCGACAATTAACATTAGTAAATTTTACTGAGATAACGACGAATTTAGACAGGTGTGGCGGTTTGAACGCCGTCATTGTTGCTGGCACACAAGTGTTTTGAGCAGTTATAGGTATTGTACATTTACACATTGTATTGTGTTGTATTATATGGCACAATACCAATAAGTGTGTTCTCATGCTAGTGTTTGGTTGAATATTACCATTAAAACATATTTTGAACCCAAACTGATACCCATAGCATTTTGGCGTGATAAATGTAATATTTAGTACATAGCCCCCCATAACACTAATTCTAACCCACCACTCCATTTCTACTCTCCTACTTATTTCCTAATTATTTGCCCTTCTTCGGGACACCAAGTTATCTCGCGGTGTCAGGGTTAGGATTCAGGTTAGAGACGGGGGACTTAAGGGACTCTTTCCCAAAGTACATTCAAAATATATAATCTTATTTCCAAAAATAGTTTGAGCAAGTTAGAAAAAGATAATTAAGTTCACTGTACCTTGGTACACAGTCCCTCTATAGAGGGATAGAGGGACTGTGCTTGGTACTACTTCCCAAGCCACAGTGGAAGGATATTGCGTTGTGTGGCTGCCAACACATGTTGTGATACCAGAGAACAGAAAGTGAAGGTGTAAGTTATATAATCCGTAGGCAACAAATCAAAATTATTCATTTCCGGCCTTAAACTCTACTTATCCTTCTAAATAATTGGAACTTTCAGGAAGATTTGTGAAGTTTAGGATTGCCTTAAAGCGCGATGGTCGTCGCGCAGCGCGTGTTCGAATTCCATGTAAATATACAATGTATTTTACACGCGCTTTACATTGTTTACAATAAAGCAGTATACATGTGCACAATTATGATTACGTCAAACATATTGTAGGTACTTCATTGGAGGTGACCAATCCATTGGTGAATTCAACTTGAATATCAACTCAGTCAGTAAACCTGATACTGGCTCATATTATTGCTTACTAACATCAAGTGTAGAGGAACTGCCAGTGGTCTCATCAAACGTCATGCAACTGAACATTGGGGGTAACTATGCTTATAGTTATTCATTTGGTGATGGTAAACAAAGTGATGAATATTATTTCTCTAATATAGTATTTTGTATAAAACGACACGGGGTTACTGCAGCAGATTTCAGGATGTGAACTGGTGATATCGTTGGACAAAGGGGACAAGAGCGCAGAGTGCACTAGACAAAAGGCTTCATCACTCATAGTGAAATTCCTGGAAAATCGCAATACCATAATTTTAAGTTCTGATTGATGTGTAGACACTAATATCGTGTCATTCATAAGATGGTTACTGCCGTTTTTATTAATGCTTATACCTGTTTCCCTTGAAACATACAGGTGAGATGTTAGTCCTGGACAACTGAAATCAACATGTTCTGCATTAAACTGAATCTGATATAGTAATACAACTTTCTACATACATAAAACATATCTTAGCCGCAAAGACTTGTTCAGTGCCCCTCAAACAGTGTTACATTTTCCTACATTTTTTTTTTCTTTTAATTTGTTTTTTTTTATTCACATATATTCCCACAAAAGTACATTACTTCAAAATAATCTTACATGTCAAAAAGATATACATAAAGGTAATTAACAGCATAAAATGAAGCAATATTAGAAAAAGAAAAAGAGAAGGGGGGATAGGTGGGAAAAAAAATGGTTGGGGGAGGGGCTGTTGTTGTTAGTGTGTACATTTTCCTACATTACCACATCTACATTGAATGCTAAGACATGAGAGAATGAAACAGTATTTAGGGCAAAATAAACCACGTGACTCTCGAACTCGGCGAGAGATCGGCGACCATTTGCGCTCAGAGTCGATTAAAATAATCACATGCATGGTAGCCAAGCAACTGTAGATGTAAACAAGATCATCTTCTGCGAAAATTTAAATGTGACACTAGTTGCAAAAATCCGATACACGTAGCAATTTGGAAAAAATTAAATATAATCTACTTTTAGTGACATTTTAAACTATACATTTTTCTATCTTCTGATAGATGCCATTCCACCAGAAGATAACTATCCACAGTGTGCAATATCAAGTAAAAACATCATTGATGGAGATATCGTATTACTGACCTGTATGTCTAAAGGTGGTGACCCTCCAGCAACCTTACAATGGGACCAAGATGGGAACAACCAAAAGGGCATTCAAATAGACGAGTCGACACTATCACTGCATGTCGACATGAGCAACGAAATCAATGGTGCAACATTCACTTGTACGTCCAAACACTCAACATTTAACCAATCACAGACGTGTGTGATTGGACCACTGGAAGTTAGAAGTGAGTAGAGTTTAAATCATGTTTCAATGAAATACAATGTCATAATTCGTGAGGGATATTTACATTCCAAGAACACGCAGCGATAGAAAACAAACCATAATACTATACTGGATCAAATAATGGAGAGAAAGGTTCTTGTACCTCCAAGCATAGAGCAAACAGGTATTGGAAAAAAGTGATCGCATCCTGCTCTACATGAAACTACGTCATTAAATATATCATTGAACTTAAATGCAAACTTGTATTTATGTATTTACAAGACCATGTTGTTTGTTTGTTTTTATTCACAGGTAGGGCAATGAAACTTGAAGGTTAGTAAATTTGAAATAACATCATACCCGATTGAATACAAGGTAATAACCAGAATATTTAAATCGTAAAAACAAAACAGATGACAAAGAGGACAGACACTGTGTTGCAACACATGACCAAAGAAGCGAAGTCATGTCTTTTTAAAAGCGTAAGGCATCCCCACCCGTTCGATCTCCACCTGATATATCGTTGAATGTCTATGCCTCAACTAATCAATGTTTTATTACTTCAATTTATAGGTACACCAAAAGGCGATAGCTGGAGTGTTGGATTCGCGGTAGTCTTGGTATTTTTAATTATTACAATACTTATTTTAATAATTCTAACAGTTCTTCTCGTGAGAAAGAAACATAGAACAAAAACACTAAATGTAACTATCTGATCGATGAGTTGTGGCAGTATTTCTACATTCTGATCATAATCAGGTAATTGTTTCATAACACTGCGGCAGTTCAATTTGTACACGCATGGCCGTATTCCACTTTAAATATAATTGTATTTCTACGGATGCAACAAATTATTGTTATTCACGTTTTTATACAAATGATCGTTTTGGAAGTGGTAAATCTAGACTAGTTTACTGTAAATGTCACATAATGTCTTCATTAAATGATAACATTTATGATATGATATGATTACATACATGCAAAACTACTAATCTATTTCGAATATTTTAATATGCTTTCATCCAATGAGTTGATACGCTGTATTTTTTTAATTCCATAGTTAAATAATTTTGACATTAACAGTTATTGAGATAGTTACAATACAAAAGTTCTGCATTATGTTTTTACATTTATTGCAATTATTTTCAATATTGGTGTCTAGTAAAATGCTGAAGAATTGTGATGTTAGGCAATATTACTTTTCCTATATATTTTAACGTAACTTAACAAATAAATAAAATAAAGATATCCCAAAACTGTCACCATTAGTCCATATTAAGTTATGTGTTAGGAGACTAAAGAAGCATGTATCTTACACACTGTTAGAAGGTGGATAGCATTGAAAGATGTATGTCTTACAATATTTTGATTCAATATGACTAATTATTAAGTAGATATTGTAGAGATGAGATGCCCCAAGGAACATTATTATTTAGCTAATTGAGTCAAACTCGTTAAAAATTGTATAAATAAATATCTCCTTTTTAACTACACATTTTAAACCAACGAATACAAGATAAAATGGAATGACATGTTTTTTTCAGAAATCTTGTGTATGGGATATTGCATGAGTTGAAAACAATAATTCAGATATTGACTGGTATGAGTGCACAATCTGGAGTGGTGGTCAAATATTTGAAAAATGACTGACAGTTTGCAAGTGTCACCACCTGGATGTAGGGATGATCATATGCTTGTTTGTCTTTCAATTCATTGGCGGCAATAGGTCCTGTGGCAGAATTTAAATTCCTTACGTTTTATTAAAAACGTTATCACTGCTGGCGGGGGAATTAACCTATCCCCAGCTGTTAGCTGTACAGATTGAGTTTTCTTTTATTAATGTTATTTGTGTGCGTTAACACTCACAATTCTGTATAGTTTTGTGGAGACATCACGTTTGGTTCACACGATTTAGTAGTGTTATAAGATCCATGTTTAAGGTAGACATTAAAACATAAATTGCAGTAATTTTATAAAAACAGGTTGATAATTGTGTTCAGTAGTGACAATTTCTCAATGCTCTAACCGTTGAGACACATTTCCGGTAACCACGTGATTATATCAACGGCTGCAACCATGTTACTCTGCCACGCCTTAGATTTTTTGGAAAGTTGGTAAGATGTTGTAAGAGAAGGGAACAGCGAGGCGTTACCTCAGCTGACCGTTTGGATGAACTGATGTGTATTCCTTTGATTAGAACCTTGTATCTCTACGTGAATTATTTGCCAAACTCCTTTCATTGACCAATGTAAGTTTAGTAGATTACCAATGCCGGAGTAGTTGACCGATGCCGGAGTAGTTGACCGATGCCGGTGTAGTTGCCGATGCCGGTGTAGTTGACCAATGCCGGAGTAGTTGACCGATGCCGGTGTAGATTACCAATGCCGGAGTAGTTGACCGATGCCGGTGTAGTTGACCGATGCCGGTGTAGTTGCCGATGCCGGTGTAGTTGCCGATGCCGGTGTAGTTGACCGATGCCGGAGTAGTTGACCGATGCCGGTGTAGTTGACCGATGCCGGTGTAGTTGACTAAAGTCAATGTAGTTGACCAATATCAGTTTAGTTGATAGCCAATGTCGTCATATTAAGAATAAAGGATTATGAACTAAAGTTCGTCATCACAAACTTGTTTTGACAGAGCCATAGTTATAAACTACCTAATATACTACAACTACACGTTTAGAGTCGTTTGCTGCTTCAAACTTCTGTTAATGTTCGCATTATACTATTTCGACGTAAAGTATCGACATCACGCAAATATTTTGTTTTGTTTAATATGTATTTAATGGGTTCTATCAAATGTAATGGTGTATACATTAAACTTATATTTTTATTTGCATAATGGTTTGGCCCAGACTCATGTGAAATCATATCACATGTCGATCATTGGATGATGATAATTAGCTAATCCCATGATTCGAGAGATACCTTGCGGTAAAGTACCTAGAAATCCAACGTCGCCTGTTAGAGAGTCGACGTTCGTATTTCAATATCACATATATCTCATTATGTGAAACATAGACTGGGAGTTAGACTCCTACAAAAACAACAAAACAATCGCACACTTTACAGACAAAAACATGATGTACTCCTAACGTATATGTAGATTTTTTGTTGAAATGTGATCCCTATATTGTCAAATTCATGGATGAACTTGGATAAAAATGCCTACAGAAATTCACAAATTTTATGTTCACTCGGAGAAAGATGTCTAGCGCTACGCGAAATTTCTCAAAATTACTTTAAATAAATGCGTTAGTTGGTATCAATGGCATATGTTATGAATGTCAAATATCACTATATTGTTTTACAGTTTTTCGAAAGATTTGAAAAATCGACTAAATTACATTACAGATACATGCTCCAGCGGAATTTAGAATTTTGCTGTGATCCATGCAGAATTCAGAACCTGGATTGAGTTATATAAATATCCCACATTAATCGCCTTTCCTTCTCCGAAAAATATCTAGGTTTCATTGAACGTTCAATACTAGTGGAAATAAATACGGAAAAGTTTCAATCGGATAGTTTTTTCCCCGATACAACTAGAAGTGAAAGATAGAATATTCGGTACAATTATGGGCGTAGAAGAGTATTTTCAACACGAATTTTTTGAGTGCTACTAAAACGAAGGAATGCGAAGGAACGTGTTTTTGAATGGAACGCGTGACTATATAATGTAGATTATTCCATTGAAAGAAATTGTTTAATGTGACGAGCTTGACCGAATATATAATTATCTGGGAAGGATAAAAAATTCCTATGCTTATATTTACTATATATATGGAGAATTTTTCTGATACAGAGAAAACAATGTTAGTCAAAAGCAAGTTTCCAGTCAGTTATGTTACCACGCTTCGTTTACCTGGTAATATGTACCCTATGGAACAGTGACATTTTTCATTATCACAAAATTGATTGTCTATCCAGAAAATATGAGCCAAAATAAAATTTGGGGACGTCTGAGTTAGTATTATCTGATACGTTTTATATTTTTACGTAACATGTAGTTATTTTTCTTTTACAAAACTAGACATCAAATAAATGAATATATGTACATTTCGCTGTTCCCATGCGGAGAATAAATCGGTCATTTTGTCGGCACCTTGCTATATCCAAGCAAAACAATTTGATCACAATTATTATTATTTAAAGGGGAACCCCCTTTTTGGATATCGTCACTTTAGTGCATGAGCATTTTAAGTCGTAGTTTCGTTTTAGGTTGGCATTGAATCGTCCAATGCCCATCAGATGCATGAGAACTGGCTGGTAACATTGTAAATTGCGGTTGTTTTTGATTAGTTGTCATTTAGGCTCGTCGTCGACTTAACATGTGCGATTAATGGAATACCCTCGAACAATGAAATGTCCTAAAATGAAAAAGGTTTTTGAACGATAAACGTCGCCACCACAGGCATAAGTTCGCTAAATTGTATTTACGCCAATTCAAGTGAAATTACGTCAATAGCCAGGAGGTTAGATTCCATAAAATAGTAGAAATTCACTTTGCCGTCATTATCACAGACCCATAACATATATGATTTCAACATAAAAAGTAGTATTCGTAGTTTGTCATATGTTAACAACGTGTTCTCACCTGAAAACGTTCACTTTGATCCATTCCACGTCCGTGAAACGTCCTTCCAGAATGAAATTATGTCTCTGAGTCGGTAGTAAAATGTTACAGACAGAGTGTGGTACATGGTGGAACTAAATAACTTAATTCGATCATCGCTCAAATCTGCATCAGCATTGATAGATTTGAACTAACAACAATCCGCACACGAGAGGCGGTAATCATGGTCTGACTGCTAATACAGCATAAATGAATCAAACCCAACTCGGGGAAATCCCTCTCAGCTCGGCTATACTCGAATGATCATCTAACAGATCTGCAATTGAACGTTGTGATTGGCCGGGAAGTATTGGATATATTTCAAGTAATGATATCAACATTATTCACAGCAGATTAACTCACCATACTTTGATAAATGTCTATAAATATACACCTGATTTAAATATGTATTAATTTGTTTTTCATGAATTCCACCCACGATTATTGTTTGAATATGCGATTTGGCAACTATGTTTTTTGGTATCAAACTTGTAAATGACTGAACACGAGATAAAAATCGTTTAACAAATGAGCCGAAAAAATAGATTATTTGATTCTAACGAGGCTGGTGTCCATCTCAATCACAGGTACAAAAACGACAATTTGGCATTCAAAAGATGATATCAGCGCCTAAATAAGGGAAAGTACAACATGAATACCCTGTATATAAATAGAAAATACAGCTGTGACGACAACTCACAAGACACAACGAACAATAAAACGTGTCATCAACAAACCGCGTTATCTGAAAAGAATAACTCGACTCTGACCTTAACACAATGGGGTGACCTGAACGTGAATGACACACACTCTGACGAACGGTGCTGGTAAACAGATTAATTACGACATTACAACTTACGGTACAAGAATCGGATCGATATATTGAGAATACATAAAGTGCATCGTATTAAAGTAAGTAGAACGTATTTCCTAAATACCAGCGACTGTTAATCTCTCTCACAAACCGCGTGTTTGTTTGTCCCGGTATATTACATGATACATGTCGATTAAGGTCAGTGATTTAATGATACTAATCATGCACTGTGTGACTGTTATTTTAATTATCAACCAGAGTCTATCATCGTCGAAATTCACTCCCAGATGAGCTAGTCACCTAGGCAACAGTATTGACTGCAACATTTAAAATAATTCGATAACTGTACGTTAGTAACTAGCTATAACCTTTGAATGAACTATGCATAATTAACATCATGGTTGTGTATCTGGTGAATAGATAGGACGTATTATACACGTCATCGACCTTATTTAATAATCAAAACACAATCATTCTTAATTGATGGTTACGAACAGACACGCCTTTGCAATAACGGGGCCCATTCGACCATTGTTTCATGAAAAAACATCGGCTGCACACTATCATACTGTATTCGACAACGGCCCGCGGGAATCATGTGATCGTCTGTCAATCATAATACGTGTTAAACACTATGTAATGATACATTGGCATGTCGACACATAACGTATCCGGTTTCTGTGACGAATCGTATATTGTTTCATTTATAATATGACCATTCGAATACATCCAACGACTCACTGTATCGAAGGTCACATATCGACGCCGTGTATCGCGACATGATGTCCGTACATGTAGATCAATTACAATAGCTGATTCAGTATGAAGTATTATTTCGACGGGTCACAATGTTATCCATGATAATTAATCTATATTTGTGATGTATTTCCCTGTCAAGATCACAGAACAATGATGTTTCCAATAAGTGGGAGTGTTACGTGTGTTGTATACTCTGTATTAGTTTGTAACTTAGGTAAGTTAACACTTTCTATCATTATTTGTTATTTTACCGCCTCCAAGTCGTAGCGCGGTCAAAGGTAAAGACGAACATAGTTGATTCCACGCCTACTTGTTGCTTATTATAAACCTAATCTATGTTACTAAAGAATGATCTTCAGGGCCGACTATTCACGTTTTTTTTTTCAAAGATTCGACAAAGCTTGAAAGAATATTTCGAGACAGCTGACGAGCGGGTCAGTCTAACATGTGCGTGGTGCTGTATTCATTTGCTATTTTTGGTGTGTTCAGATGGCACTGACATGCATTAATCGAATAAATGTAGCCTATAAATAACTGGCATACTTGAAAGTCATTTAAAACCAAATTAAAACACTGTATTCAATGCCATTCATTTTTATTCCCAATAAAGTACTAAGGGTGGGGCGGTGAAATGGAAACCCGTGATTCGAAAGGTCAATGTTATTGATGGAAAACGCACGAACTCAAAATTATTTCATTTTAACAAGGGCGAAAAACTTAATTATCAGCAAGTTTAAAGTGTGACAAGTCTTCACATGTTATTTGTTTAAAACTCATAAGAATAAATATATTATTTGACTTCCTAGTTAAATTATTTAATTATTTTTATATAGATCTAATGTATATGCAATGTATGTACTATAACTCGTATTCATGAATTCCGGGGTTACATCTATATATATATATATATATATTCAGGCTACAACCCAGTGTCAAGTAATATTATAAAAGTATATTGAAGAAAATATAATGCCGAAAAGTAATTAGTCAGGATTCAGAATAAAATCAACATGCCAGATATTTGTATTAAAAACATTTATCCATGATATTTAAAAACAAACAAACAAAATTATTATGCATATTTCCTAGATTTTGCTAAGGCTTTAGAGAATATATGAAGAGTAGGTTCATTATATAAATTATTGCAAATAACATGATTAAAAATGTTAAATAATTTGAAACATATAGTCAACCACTAACATTAGCATACATAATTATATAAACAATACCATTCATCAGAAAACAGAAGTAAAACAAGGATGTATCATGTGTTAATTATTGCAATTGGTGATGTCAATTGCAATGTGGGCACTACACATTCAGGACAATATTAAAAGGTAAAAAACAACAATAGAAACATTTAATTATAAATTTTGTAGCAGCAAATGGCACCAAGATATTAACAGATTTAACAAATTAGGTTACTTGAACAAAAACGATTAATAATATACAATACAAACGGTTAATTGTAATACAATTTCACAAGATGTTTATGTGAGTTACACTGTGAAGAAAAGATGCATTTACAACCATAATTTGGAAAAATTTTTTATAGTAGACACACAAAACTAAAGATTTCAGTAAAATGAGATTATTATTTATTTGAAGATAAGGAACATTTATATGTATTGGTTTGTCAGAAATATAAAACAATTATCATATTCAATTTTAAGCAAAAATTTAGATATTAATAATTTAGCTGACTATATTTTTACAATTTAGCTTTATATACATTCTTTTATTGACATGCGTTTTAATTTTTGTTATAACACAATGTAAACTTATTCACAAGGACACCGTACGTTTTTATGATTATTGGTTTTGTTCGCCATTTTTCAGTTCTTGGGTGTATTCCAGCAAACTTTCCCATACCCATAGTTTAACTAGGTTAATGTACCCATAAGGGTTTGATAGCTAACAGGAAATCAATGCTTTTCTCTTATGCTTTATTCCAAACTGATACAGTTGTATTTAAATGGGGATTGTAAACATTATATTCATATGGAGATTGTAAATGTTATGTTTTAATTCATATAATTTATATTGCACACCATTAATATCTTGAAATACTGCAGTTTGTATATTTTAAGTTAAACACTACATGCTATGAAGGTTGAGGCGGACTGAGAGTTCTGTTTCAAGTATGGGTTGAGTTTGAACCAACTAACCATGAGCTATTGTGAACTCAGCTAAACGACAAATGAAATTTAAAGTATTACATTTTATTTAAAATAGACAAAGGGGTATTGATTTATCAATCAAATTAGCAAATGACAATTTTACAGTTTCCAAGTTTGTTTTAACCTCGGTTTGAATCGCTTTCTGCAGTGCTCGCCGCTCAACATTTCACGGTTACGCCCACTGACCAATCGGCTGTGGTCGGAGACACCGTGACATTCCATTGCACAGTTGCTGAGAAAAAAGGCTTTCTCACGTGGTTGCAAGATGGGAGTCCACTTAATTTTGACACAACAATGAGCACAGGAAATGCTGACTATTCAATTGTATATAAATCTACCGCCGACGGCGAAGCATATGATTTACGAATTACGAATGTTGGGCATGACGATGCCAAGAACTACCAATGTACGATAACACAGGGAGGAGGCGATAACGGTGCCATATCTGAACAAGTTTCATTGACAGTGACGGGTATGTGTTGACTTGTATTTTACATCTCTTGTAACGTCATCAATCATGGTACTCCAGGCATATCTGCCTTCCACGAATCTCAAATATTTCTGCTAGTGTGTTTGTCCATCTCTTCAAATTCTTTGTCTCCTGCTTGTTTCTCCGCTCATTGTTTCTTATCATTAGGCGTTTTTCATTTCAAAGAATTGCATTTGTATCTTTTAATATCTGATGTCAGTAACAATAGTATTATTTGCACATTTCAAGTGGGCTATAATAAATAGTAAAAAACAGTTACATACATATTTCAAATCAAACAGAAGATAATTAACGCATCTAATTTTAAGAGAGCTAATGACTCATTACTACTACTGTTATTA